ACCTGGGTCCCTGGCTGCTGTGAGGCAACAGGGCTAACTACTGAGCCACCGTGCCACCTTTCCATTTCTTCTTCTTTCCAAGACCAGATAGCAAACAGTATTGTTTTTAAAAGTTTTCTCTGTATTTGGAATAATCTTTGTTACGTCTAATATTAACAGCGAGGGTATTTACTTCTCTCCCCTTCTGCCAATAAAGGCTATTGAGGAGAAGCATGCTGGGACGTATATGTGCCAAGTGCAGAACTCGAAGACGATGCAAATTGTCAAGCGCGTGCTCATTGGAGTGAGGGTCATCCCCGAAAAACTGGTACAACTGAATTATTACGAAGTGCTGTCACCTGAGCAGAAGGAGGAGTTCGAAATTCTGCAAGGAAATCCGGTGCAGAAGAAGAGGCCAAAATCATTCTTTGCAAAAGTAAAGGATATATTTAAAAGTGCAAACATGGCTGTGCGTGTCATTGCCATTGGTTTGGCAATTGGCGGAGCCTGTGCTTTCGTTCTTGGAGCCATATTCTTATGTATGACAAATTACTGAATGTGCAGTAAATAAATTAGATTTTCTACTGATATCAGTTTAACAACATTTGTAGCAGATTGGTGCAAAGTGGGGTGATGAGGAGTGGTTCTGCTCTTTTCCAGGGTTGAAACAATTAGAAAACAGTTTATTTTTGTGCCTTGTCTCCGATGGCATTGAAATTCTCAATAGAACATCGCGGTGCCATGTTGCACAGTTTAATTGGTGCACGTGGGAGCAACATTCAAAGAAGAACATCAGGTACTTTTCCAGACTTGCCCACAAACAATAGCCTAATGGTGTTATCGCTAGACAGTTAACCCAGAGAGCTAAACAGTGTTATGGGGACCAGGTACGAATCCCACCACAGAAGATGGTGGAATTTGAATTCAATGCATATCTGGAATTGAGAGTCTAATGATGACCATGAATCTATTGTCAATTGCTGGGAAAAACCCATCTGGTTCACTAATGTCCTTTAGGGAAGGAAACTGCCATCCTTACCTAGTCTGGCCTACATGTGATTCCAGATCCACAGTAATGTGATTGACTCTTAACTGCCCTCTGGGCAATTATGGATGGGCAATAGATGTTGATGACACATTCATCCGATGAGTGAATAAACAAAACAAAATAGTTTAACTAATGATTCAACTCATTCTCTCTGTGGGTTATTGTTCATGTAAAACAGCTGGTACATTTGCTGACACTACAACTGCATTGCAAACTGGCTTATAAGATGATCGAACAGGAGGAGGTCGTTCAGCCCCTTGAACCTAGCCCATCGCTTAATACGATCGTGGCTGATCTCATCTCGGCCTCAACTCCACTTTCCTGCCCACTCTCTATAACACTTCAACCCAATACTAATTAAAAATCTGTCTATCTCCTCCTTAAATTTACTCCATATCCCAGCATCCAGCACACTCTGGGGTAATGAATTCCACAGATTTGCAAAGCTTTGATAGAAGTAATTCCTCCACATCTCTGTTTTAAATCTGCCAGCCCTTAACCTCTCATTCTGCATTGCCCCACAAGAGGAAACATCCTCTCAATCTCTACTATTATTGTATGAGATCTTTAAAACAGTTTAACCATATGGTAAAGTGTCATACAGGTACAATTTTTTCTAACTAGCTACCTTTTCCATCTTGAAACCCTCTGACCATACCTTATTAAATATATACAGTCAGATTGATTTCGAATGAATGGTTGTTGTGGAGAATATGCACTGGGTTGTTGTATGCTCATCTTGAGCATCCTGAGGAATGGATTGAATACCTTTGTGACATTTCTGCATGGGTACACTTCCGCAAGCACTGTACAGCGCTTAGCACTAGCAGTCAATTAGCAGCTGTACTAAGTAGGACCTTGCAGAGAGCGTGGGAGATAGGAGAAGTTACACTGCTGAAGTCAATAAGGAGCTTGAATTTATCAGGTGCCTTCCGTAGAGTAATGGGACTAACATCAGAGGCATACATGATGGTGATGCAATAATGATATTGCAGTCACCTGACTGAGTAACAAGAACTGGAAGAGAGCAGAAGCTCTGACCTCGTGTGATGGTAATATATGTATTGATCAAGCTGTGAATAAAGAGTTCTTGCAGAATGTGTCATGGTCTCGAACAGAATACATTTGGGAAATTAAACAGTGCTGCACCCCAAACACACACCAAAACACTTTTCAAGTTTGAGAATATCCTGAACAGTTCACAGAGAGCTTACAAAGTGTATTCACTGTCACACTGTAGGCAACCAGTGAGCAGGAGACATTGAGACATTCTGATAGAATTTGTTAAGATTATGATTGGCTTGATAGAATAAAAATCGAGGAAGACAAAGCAACACTTGGGGCCATAAATGTAATGTAACTTCAGGACAGCCTTTTTCAGCAGTAATGTGGTCCAACTGTGAAACACTCAATTACAATGTGATGAATAACCAAGATACCCTTCTTGTTCAGCCATCCTTCAGGATTGAGGCTGGTGTATTTCCACTTTGGGCTCTGACATGTCTGTTAAATCCACTGTGTAATCTGCAGCCTCCGCCACATTGAGGCCAGATGCTGTTTGAGGAGTTGGGCAGGTGAGGTGTCAGAGCTTTCTCCTAAATCCTGGCTCCTAATTCTCCACTGATTGTCCCTAATGGAGTCTCGTGGTGTGTCCAATACCCACCTGAAACGAGCCTTCTCCATTTCTGGTTGGTCACAGGCCAGGGTCTCCCACAAGCCAGTGAGGACTGTTTGACCTCTTTGGGGAGGCTTTGAGGACATTCGTAAAGAGTTTGGACCTGTCACACAAAAGGTGGTGTGTGCCTGGAACGCGCTGCCTGAGGAGGTGTTTCAATGCTGCAAATCCTATATCGTCTTTTCAAAGCTGAAGAATTTTGCATCCCTATGGTGCATTCCATTGCTTTGGATTGTCCCAAAGCACTGAACGGTCGATGAAATATTTCCAGAAGTGTAGTCACTGTTGTAAATTAAGTACTGTGGCAGCCAGTAACCTCCCACAAACAGCAACATGATAAAGACCGAGTGATTTGTTGGTTGATGGAGAAATATTAACTGAGATCCTCACTCCTGCTGTTCTTTAAAATGGCATCATTGTAGTGATTGTAACGAGGAAATCCAGCTGGACCTCACAGAATATGAGTTTCCTGACTAGGGCTCTTAATCTGGTGCAATCAGGGAGCCCTGGCTGATATAAAAAGAGTGAATGTGAGGCATACTGACACTCTGGTGCCTCACTGTTGGACACAGTACTAAAGTCAAGAATGCTTTCAAGTGTCAATAAACCGTGACTTCATGGAATCCCTACAGTGTGGAAGCAGGCCATTCCACCCACATTGACCCTCTGAAGGGCATCCCACCCGGTCCCATACCCCTACCCTCTAACCCTGCATTTCCACGGCTAACCCACCCAGCCTCCACGTCCCTAGGCACTATGAGCAATTTAGCAAGGCCAATCCACCCAACCTGCACGTCTTTGGACTGTGAGAAGAAACCACAGCATCCAAAAGAAGCCCACACAGACAGGGGAGAATGTGCAAACTCCACACTGACAGTTAATTACAGAACACATTTAGGGAAGGGTTAGAAATTGGGGCAGAGCAGAGATTATCCTTAAACAACTGTCCTCTTCTTAACCTGAGAGTAGCAGGAATGAATCGTGGCTGCTCAGAGTGAGACCACATTGTGTTTTCCAGAGTTAGCAGCCTTTATAGAGCAAGCACCACCATTCCTCATATGCTATCCTTGTTCAACTGTTCGAAAGCAATAGTGTCACTTTATTGAGACAGGAATTGAGAAATCATTGAATGATTGTTGTATTTTCTGTATTTTATTAACCATATTTCCCATATACTTTCATATTATTCTGGGACAGAAATCGCACCTAAAATCAATGAGCAGCTTTGGCAATGATAGAAAAATACAATATTTTGTCAGGAAATCAAATTTCAGTGAGTGAAGAAAGACAAATTTTCATTCTCTATCAATGCTAATGTGACTGTTTTCTGTAAGTCCCATGGTTGATGAAGAGGATAAACAAACATTGTCTAATTTTTGAACTGCACGAAATATGATGGAGAATTTCACTGCGTGCTCCCACCACTCCAATCCTGGCACCCCCTTCCTCACCCACTACCAGCCTGCAGGCCAACATCGTGCTATCCCCCACCCCAACCCCACCACCAATCCCTATTCCTGGAATTTGGAGGAGACACAACTTGAAACTAAAGAGATTGTATTTAATGCCCAAAATAAGACTTGCACAGAAATGCTTCAATGAAGTTCTCATTGGATGTCACAGAGTTTGTTAGGGTGCAGATGGAGACCATTCAGCCCATTGTGTCTGCCCTAGCTCTCCGTGTAAGCGATATGACTTAGTGCCGTTCTGCCTTTTCCCCGTAACCCTGTGCATTGTTTCTGTTTAAATAAAATCTAACACCCATCAAATGCCTCAGTTGGACCTGTCACCACCAGTGTATTGCTGTTGCCATTCATAAAGTTCTGTACAAAGCAGAAGAGGAAATAAAATCTGATCCAGTTCAGGCAAAATTGTGAAACTCCATGTTTATGTACCACCTTTAACACAGTAAAATGTCTCAAGGCGCTTCTCAGGAGTGCAATGAAATAAATATTGACACCTAGATTTTAGATTTAGATTTTTAGATTTAGATTTTTATTGTCATGTGTATCCAAGTACAGGAGTACAGTGAAAAGTGCGCAATGTGGCCACACAAGGCACCATCTTAGGTACAAGTACTTAGGTACAGAATCACAAGAGCAAGGTAGAAAGAAAGAACAAAGTTAAAAGTTAAACATTACAGTAATTCTTAGTATTAATTAGAAAAAGAAAGAAATAAAGCTAAAAGTTAAAAATTACAGTCTTTCAAAAATGCGTAGCCACACAGGGATGGTACTTTCTACAGGGGCTTGATCTCTTCCTCTTCGCTATGCTTTCCCCACACAGTCCATTCCAGGGGTCCTCACACCAGACCTACCACCCTGCTGCTGAAATAACTATCACTCTTACTAGCTGCTTCAGTGATGTGAGGGCAGCTGGTCAGAAACTTGGTGTAAGAGGCAGACATTAAGAAGCTTCTTAAAGAAAGAGAAGTTTGACAGCATTGTAAAGGAGAGCTGAAGAGAACTATGGAGGAAATTCCAGAGCTTGGCAAGCAACCAGAGGTAAGGCCACTTCTGGTGGGCAGAGAAAATTGCTCAGAAGGCTGGAACCCAGAGATATCAGAGGTTTGTGAACCTGGAGAAAGCTATACATCTGAGGAGAGGCGAGACTATGGAGGGATCTGAAAATGAGGATGAGAATATTAAATTCAAGGCAGTTCTCCTCAACAATTAAGGTGGTGCTCCTCAACAACAAGGAGAACAAAAACAAAAGTTGCTGGAAAAGCTCAGCAGGTCTAGCAGCATCTGTGAAGAGAAATCAAAGTTAACGTTTCAAATTCAGTGACCCTTCCTCAGAATGTTCTGAGAAAGGGTCACCAGACCTGAAACGTTAACTCTGATTTCTCTTCACAGATGCTGAGCTTTTCCAGCAACTTCTGTTTTTGTTTCTGATTTACAGCATCTGCAATTCTTTCAGTTTTTATTAATAGGGGAATACTGAATTAGGCCCTGTAGCTCAGTAACTCAAAGGAGAAACAGCCCTAGAGGGCAACGTTACTACGTCATTGTTGGATTTGAAATTGGCAGATTTTGGCAAATTGGCTCACTTCAATAAACTATACATAAATGTTCAGGAAGCTTTTGGTGATGTTGTCTTTGAGGAGTAGTTCTAATTGAATTGAAATACAGCACCAAAGAACAAATCTAGTTTTAAAACAATCATACTGCAATCTGCATAACTTATCATTGCAGTTGAACACATTTCAAATTCATAGGATTGTGGAATTCT